ATTGTGAATAAATTAGACGTTGATAACCCGATGCGTACGTGTATGTATGTGTGTGTGTGTGTGTGTGTATGCGTACGTGTATGTATGTATGTGTGTGAATGTGTATATATGTGTGTGTATAGCTATGTAAGTATCTATATACTTTATACAGTCTCGATGAATGAATGAATGTTTTTTCAACCATGGTGATGCGTCGTGTGAAAGTAATAGGTGCTTGAGTTTGCAATTGTCCTATAACTTATAATGTAATTCAATGTAATTAATGCAATGTAATGTAATTATGTAACGTAATGTAATGTAATGTAATTGAGCAACTTTTTAAAATAAATTTATTAAAACAGTTAACTATTAGAAGAATCTAAAGCAATTGCTAAGCCAACTTCAACAACAACAACAACATCAGCATCAACAACGACATCATCATCACCAACGTCAACAACAACATCAACAACATCTAGACTATGGATTGTGCAACTGAAAATTTTAACTTTTCACTGTACGACCTACCAATGGAAAACTTGAACGCCTTCGTATCCGACAGTTTTGGTAACGGTAAATCGGATATTAACGATCGGACCGATAAAATAGCCGATAATAGGAACATCTCATTAAAAACCGACAACGAGTTTATGGACGGTTTCGTTTATTATACCGAACTCGACTCCCATTCCAGTTTTGGAAGTGCAGACATTAACAGTTCTTACGTTGACATTAACAATTTTGATTATTGTTACAACCACAGTAACATTAATAACATTAATAACGGCATCAGCGTCAGTAACACTAGCAACAAAATCAATGATACGGACGTGGAGATCAACTTAACGTTTGATAGCAGTTACGAGGCATGTATGAAGGAATACGAGACGAACGACATCAGCAGCAGCAGCAGCCTCATCAACGACAGCCACATCAACGGTGACAACAAAAATTTTTTCGTTCGTCAGTTGAGTAAATCGACGGACTTTTTAAGTGGCAACGACGCCAGCAACAACATCGCCAGTAGGCCCAACAAAATGGACACAATGAGCAGCAGTTGTGATGATGG